TTCAAAGACTTCAGCTCCAGCTGTGTAAATAATAAATAAAACCATCTGAACCGTTCTCATTATGAAACGAATCTTGCACAGACAAAACATACATAATCAGTTCATCTATTTACACTTGTCATCTTTTTTTCTTTTGTATTACTTGGAAGAAAAATCCCTAATAAAAAACTTGTCTGATGACAGAAAAAATAATACGGGGAATCTCATCACGAAAACATGTCTGGGTCCATTTCACCCTGAAATAAAAAGGGTTTATTTTCCTTTGAGAAACGTAATATTTTTGCATTGTGATATTAGTTTTATGTACAGTTTACATGATTCTCATTACTGTAATGAGCCCAAAATTCACAATATTCTCAAGTAATTACGCCATATAACTTTAATGAGAATTATTGGAAATTTGTATTAATTTTCATTAAAAAATGTCAACAACCCATATATACACTCACCTAAAGGATTATTTGGAAAGCCGGAGAAGGGTCGACAGGGCAATTAGCAGGCTGAAACACTGTGAAATAGTCGGCAGAGTCCAGGAGGGTCGAGCAGGCCTTGGGAGGAGTGAGACCCCCTTTCTTGGTCAAAGGCCTCCAAGGAAGAGCGGAAAGCCATGGGTGGTGGCAGAAGTGGCAAGGACTGAGCAGGAGCGCCTTAACATAAAGGCGGTGTCTCAGAGCTGACAGGGAGTCTGGATGTCATGGGAAGGTATCACAGAAGGCATCTGTCATGGTCTGATCTGTGGAAGATACCCCAAGCCAGGCTCAGCTTCCTGATTAGATCTACTTATGACACCCTACCTTGTCCCAGAAACCTCCATCAGTGGTTCGGCACTGAAGAACTCTGCCCCCTTTGCAGTACCAGCAATGCAAGCCTCCAGCAGTTGTGTAGACAGGAGGCTAATAGAAGACCCTTTGGACCAACGAGAAGTCCCATCCTGTTTGCAAGGGCCGGGGAAAAAATCAATCACCCTCACCAGAGAGCAACATCTAGAGTCCTCTTATCTGGCAGTGAGTGGAACATGAGGGTCGACCTGGGGAGGCAGCTCCAATTCCCAAGGGAGATCGTGGAAACTTT